TACCACCTGCTGCAGGGATATTTCTATCTTGACCAATATCCACCCAGCCTCAAGTTTTGGGGTACAGGATAAAGCAACTTGGTGGTCAAGGTTTCAAAAAGCCATAGGTATTTGAATCTGTTGAGCGCTTTCTTGAATTCCTTTTTTGTTGTATGGGTTTGCTTTCTCTGGTTTCTAAATTTTAGGGCAGGGCCTGCTCCGCCTATTGCTTGGGGGCGTGCGCCACCTAGTGATGATAACTGGCTCCGCCGGCTGGTTTAGGGGGTGACGCGCTTTGCTCTTGGAGCCACCTGTCCCCTGCACTGAGCAAGGGAGGGAGAACGGACCACACACACTGAGGATTCTAGAATGGGTGTAACGGGGCCAGTGGGAGGGCTCCCTGTGGTTGAGCATAAGACACAGACCTTGTAGACACCCGGCAGGTGTGTTACCTTTTCCCTTTCCTACTGGACTCCCCTTCTCACTCCTCAAGCCTCCATGAAAACAACAAAAACAATAAAAAAGATTTGTTGCTCCCTTGACATAGCGACCAACCTTAAAAATAGGAGAGAAAGGGGCCCATGGGTGGCTCAGTCGGGTAAGCATCCAACTCTTGATTCAGCTCAGGTTGTGATCTCAGGGTCAGGCCCAGGGCGGAGCTCTGCACTCAGCAGGGAGTCTACTTGAGGTGCTCTGTCTCCCCCCCCCCTCTGTGCCTCCCCCACTCATGCATGCATGCTCCCTCTCTCTCTCTCTAAAATAAATAAATCTTTTTTAAAAAATAAAGAAAAATAAGAGAAAAAGAGTGGTGGCCCCAGGAGGGTCCCCCTCACCTTTCTGGTCACCTCGGCATCTTTCCTCCTGTTGCACGTCTCCACCAGCCTAGCCCTTCCTCCTCCCTGTCACCTGCCCTCTGCTGCCTAGATCTCTCCGCCGGGTCCTCTGCAGCCCCTGCTCTTTCTCGAGACTTTGCTACATCCTCAATTTTATCTTAGAATGCCACTTTAACTGAATACCTGGCTTTTGTTTTTCTTTTTAAAGAGTCTATTTATTTATTCATGAGAGAGACACAGGCAGAGAGAGAAGCAGGCTTCCCGCGTGCTTGATAAAAATCAAATATTTATAAAGATATGTAAATAGCAAACGTCTATGTCTTTTTCCACAGCGCTGTCCTCTTGTCCCTTCTTTTACTGCCTGTTCCAAAATAACCACTGCTAAGGCCTGGTTTCTGTGGTGGGGCATCCTACGGGTCAGCCTGACTAGGCTGCAGTGCGCAGCGGCTGAGTCAAACACCATTCTAGAAATTACTGTGCTGGTACTTCTCAGATGTGATAAACAATCAGTAGACTTTGAATAAAGCAGATGATCTTCCCTAATATGAATGGAACCTCAGGACACCTGGGTGGCTCAGGGGTTGAGCGTCTGCCTTCAGCTCAGGTCATGATCCCCGGGTCCTGGGATCGAGTCCCGCATCAGGCTCCTTGTGGGGAGCCTGCTTCTCCCTCTGTCTATGTCTCTGCCTCTCTCTGTATTTCTCTTGTAAATGAGAGAAAGGAGAGAAAGAAAGAAAGAAAGAAAGAAAGAAAGAAAGAAAGAAAGAAAGAAAGAAAGAAAGAAAGAAAGAAAGAAAGAAAGAAAGAAAGGGGGCCTCATCCAAGCAGGTGAGGGCCTTAAGAGAAGGGTGGGGTTTCCCAAATAAAAAGAAAGTTTCCTCAAAAGAGCAACATCGAAAATCTGCCCAAGTTTCCAGCCTCCTGCCCCTCAGAATTTGGATTTAAGACTGCACACCCATTTTAACTTGGATTTCCGGCCCACCAGGCCGACTTGTGGACTCCAGATTTGCCAGCCTCCAGACCTGCATAAGCCAATTCCTTAAAACCTTGGTCTCTGTTTCTCCCCCTCACTCTGTCTATATAATATATCCTATTGATTCTGTTTCTTTGGGAACCCCTAATAGGACATCTGTGGAGATGGCCAGCTATGTCCCAAAATGCATACTTTGCTCTCCTAGTTAACTAACTGAGCTGCAGTTCGGTATGGCCGTGTAACTTCCATGCCTCACCCACTACACCTCCTTGGTCTTTTTTCTTTTCTGGATGACCAGCAGGGTGACACTGAGAGCATCCTTGGAAACCATGTGTTGAAGATGGCACCCTGGGTCCTTCAGTAACTATGTGAAGCCAAGGTCCCTCTTCCCCACCCTGGCCCCACAGATCTTGAACACTCTAACCTAGAAGTCCCTGGACTATTAGGTAAGTTGTAAATAAATTTCTACTGTTTTTAAGTCATTGCATTTTGGAATTATTTCATAAACGAGATTAACAGACCCTGACTGATACAGAAATTGGTACCTTGAAGTGGAATGCTGTTTAAAATAAACACCTAAGAGGGCATCTGGGGGGGACTCAGTTAAGCGGCCAGCTCTTGGTTTCAGCTCAGGTCATGATCTGGGTCCAGGGATCAAGGCCCTCACTTTGGGCTCCCCCATCAGCGGGGAGTCTGCTGGAGCATTCTCGTCTCCCTCTTCCCCTCTGTTTGCTCAAGCTCTCATGCATGTTCTCTCTCTAAAGTAAATAAATCTTTCAAAAAATAAAAAATAAAAACTTAAGACATAGGCATTGGCTTAGTAGATGCATCGTGGAGGGTCAGGGAGCGATAACACTGGCTGAGTATCATTTGATGCGTGGGCAAAACATTGGTAGAACTGTTTCTGTGGTTACGTGAAAGGCAGATACAGTTCCTGCTATGCCAGGATTTCTAGAACAGGTGGTTGGAATGAGCCAGAAGGCCTGAGGTAGCTGCCTCTTGCTGTTTTTAGCTAGGTATACCTAGAAAGAGAGGAGCTCAGACCAGAATCTACTGGTTTTGAAAGCAAAGAAGGGTTGGGAGAGTCTAGAATTTGGGACCCTAGAGATATCGAAAAGCCAACTACTTCAATAGCATAAATAGCAAGAGAAAAGTCTCGGTGGCCTTGTCTCAGTGGCCTCTCACTAAGACATCTCAGGCCAACCAAGATGTCATTTCAGTCTTGCCCAGTTGTTTCAGGCAGTTGCAAGTCAGGTGCCACTAACTTAAGAAAGAGGAGCTTAGGGGCAAGGAAGCAAGTCATGAAACAGGTTAAGGACCCTGCCTAGAAAGGAACTCTGGGTATGGCTCCTGACACACGGACTGGGCAGCAGCAAACAGAGTAAATGCTTTGTAAGTTTTTGAAGCGAGAACATTCCTGAAGTGACCATAGGGAGCCTGGTCGAAGAAAGTCATTGTTAAAATAAAACACATCTTGTGCTCCCAAGCTTGCGGACCTCAGGCTGCGAAAGCCGAATAGTCCTTTAAGAAGATCTACTCCTTAGCACCTGCTTGAGGAGCTCTGTTCATCACAGATTTCTGGTATTTCGAATAGGATAGTTAATGTTTCTTCTACTTGAAATTCATCAAAATTCTTGGATTGCTAAATTTAGATTCCTCGTGAAGTTTGGAAAAATGTTGACCATTATTTCTTCAGCTGTTTTTCTTTCCACCTCCCAATGGCCCTACTTCGGAGATTCCAGGTGCCTATATGTCAGGTCACTGGATAGTGCCCCACAGCCCAGAAATGCTCTGTTTATTGTGATTTCCAGCCTTTTTTTTCTCTTTGTGTTTCATCTTCGAGAGTTTCTACCGCTATGTCTTCAAATCCACTAGTCTTCTGCAGCATCTGTTAATCTCATTTAGTATATTTTAAAATTTCAGATATTACGTTTTTCTCTTTTTAAAAGGATGTTATTTGAGTGAGAGAGAGAGAGAGAGAGAATGAGGGGGAGAAGGGGCAGACGAAGAGGGAGCAGACTCCCTGCTGAGCTCAGTCCCAGGACCCTGAGATCATGACCTGAGCTGAAGACAGACACGTAACCGACTGAACCCCCCCAGACCCCCCAGATAGTACATTTTTCATCTCCAGAAGTTTGATATGAGTCTTTTATTTATCTTTTCCTTCTCATCATGTTCATTTTTTCCCCTCTACCTTCTGAAGCATATTGAGTACTTTTATGATAACTCTTAACATCCTTGTCTGTTAATTCTATCATCTGTGTGGTTTCTGGGTCTTTTGATGGATTTCCTCCTGGTTGTTTACATGCATGATAATTTTTGGTCGGCTCTGGACATTCTGGACCCTGGCATGTGCGTGGGACCCTGGTGTGTGCATGGGACCTGATAGGTGTGTGGGGCCCAGGTGTGCGCGTGGGACCCTGGCGTGCACGTGGGACCTTGGTGTGCATCTGGGGTCCGGTGTGAGTGTGAGACCTGATAGGTGTGTGGGGCCCAGGTGTGCGCGTGGGACCCTGGCATGCACGGGGGCCCTGGTGTGCGTGTGGGGCCTGGTGTGAGTGTGAGACCTGATAGGTGTGTGGGGCCCAGGTGTGCGCGTGGGGCCCTGGTGTGCGTGTGGGGCCTGGTGTGAGTGTGAGACCTGATAGGTGTGTGGGGCCCAGGTGTGCGCGTGGGGCCCTGGTGTGCGTGTGGGGCCGGGTGTGAGTGTGAGACCTGATAGGTGTGTGGGGCCCTGGCGTGCGCGGGGCCCTGGTGCACCTCCCCACAGCCCGCCCCTGCCCCAGGCCCCACACCGCCCTTCCCCGGGGGCCCCGCCGCTGGTCCAGTTTCTCCGTGGCCCCGCCCCTCCCCGCCCCGCCCCTCCCCGCTAGCCGCTCTCCGCCGGCCCCGCCCCGCCCCTTCCCGGCCCAGTCCAGAAGCCCCGCCCCGAAGGCCCCAGCCGCTTGCCCTTCCACCCGGTGGCTCCGCCCCTCTCAGGCCCCGCCCTCCCCGGCCCCGCCCCCGAAGGCCCCGCCCCGCCCCCGAAGGCCCCAGCCGCTCGCCCGTCCACCCGGTGGCTCCGCCCCCTCAGGCCCCGCCCCTCCCCGGCCCCGCCCCTCCCCGGCCCCGCCCCGCCCCCGAAGGCCCCAGCCGCTCGCCCTTCCACCCGGTGGCTCCGCCCCTCCCAGGCTCCGCCCTCCCCGGCCCCGCCCCGCCCGGCCCCCGCCCCGGCCCGGCCCCCGCCCCGGCCCCGCGCGGTCCCCATGCTTCTCGGAGCCGGCCTGGCGGCGCTCGCTCGGCTCCCGCGCAGCCTCCGGCCGGCTTCGCTCGCAACCATGAGCACCGGCACTTTCGTGGTCTCGCAGCCGCTCAATTACCGCGGCGGGGCCCGCGTGGATCCCGCGGACTCTTCCGGCACCGAGAAGGCGTTCGAGCCGGCCACGGGTAACCCGAGGGGAGACCCGAGGGGCGGCCTGGGCGGCGGGCGGCGGGGCAGGGGGACGCGGTGGGGGGTGGGGGCAGGGGGACGCGGTGGGGGGTGGGGGCAGGGGGACGCGGTGGGGGGTGGGGGCAGGGGGACGCGGTGGGGGGTGGGGGTCCTGGGCGGGGGTCCTGGGCGGGGCAGGGGGGCGGCCGGGCGGCGGCCGGGCCTGGGCGGAGGGTCTGGCACTGCCCTGGACCTCTGTTGAGCGCACCTGGCAGCCGGCACAGGTGAGGACGGGGCGGAGGGTAGGTTGTGAGCGCAGGCAGTTAAGGCCCCGGGGCAGGAACCAGGAACCGAGTGTAGCAAACCGGCAGAGCTGGGGAGCTGCGTGGGGCGGCGGGGAGACGTGGGCAATGCGACGAGGGCCCAACAGAGTCTACAAAGCCATGATGCCCGAGGTTGTGCCCTTGTTATCGATTTTTCAAGTTAGAACAGCAATCATGTTTTCGACAACGTGCACAGGCGATTTCCACCGTGCTAGGATTTCCACAGAAGGACGCGCAGGTGAACACATTAGTGGGGAGAAGGGAGATGCGTGCGCAGATGACCCCAATGACCTGAGCTTTGTTGCCACCTCCTAGCCTTGGAAGATTTCTGTGCACGAATCAGAACTCGGAAAGGGGAAAAAAAGGCCAGCTTTTTTTTTTTTTTTTTTGTCCAGTGCTTCACACTGCCAAGTGCTGGGCCCTGGATCGGCTCTGAGAATTCCAAAGATGTCGCAGCTAAAAGGGAAAAGTTTTGGGTGTGGGTTTATGTTTGTTTTGCTGAGCTTTATGGAATATTTGTGGGGAGAAATATGTAAATGTTTTGTGTAAATCAGAAAGGCGGGTAGCCAGAGGGACAAAACTGGATTGCAAAGGACTGCAGAATTTTTTTTTAAATTTTTATTTATTTATGATAGTCACAGAGAGAGAGAGAGGCAGAGACACAGGCAGAGGGAGAAGCAGGCTCCATGCACCGGGAGCCCGACGTGGGATTCGATCCCGGGTCTCCAGGATCACGCCCTGGGCCAAAGGCAGGCGCTAAACCGCTGCGCCACCCAGGGATCCCAAGGACTGCAGAATTTAGGGTTGATCAGTCATGCTACATCACAGAGCAGCAATAACCTTGTCAGAGCAGGAAGGGGCTACAGGGATCAGCAGCTTTCCTGGTGGAAACAGCCACTCTGCCCCATCCCTGTAATCATATAGGAGAAAAAGAAAAAGTTCTTTATTTTAATTACCTTCGTTGTGTGCATTCCTTAGCCTTTAACAACTGGCTATTCAAATTTGCAGCAGAAACTGCAGGCTTGTGAAATCTTTCTGGAAAAAGCAGAGTCTCTGGAGTTCTTGTGGAAGGGAAAAGGAACTGCGGATTTGATGTACTTACGGAACTCTTGTTGGTAGAGTCCATCACAGCCCTTGGGATGTAGGCTCATATTTTGCACCAGGATAGGGAAAGAGGTTGGCGTAAGAACAGGAGAACCTGGGCTTTTTCATACTTGAGAAATTTTTCTTGTGTTTTAGGGATATGTTTTCCTGATACTGCTGTTTATTAACCATATTCATGAAGTATCGCTAGTAGAACATGGACCAGTGATTTAAAATCCCGAGTTCGGGGATCCCTGGGTGGCTCAGCGGTTTGGCTCCTGCCTTCAGCTCAGGGTGCTATCCTGGAGTCCCGGGATCGAGTCCCATGTCGGGCTCCCTGCATGGAGCCTGCTTCTCCCTCTGCCTGTGTCTCTGTCTCTCTCTCTCTCCTTCTCTCTATGTCTATCATGAATGAATAAATAAATAAATAAATATTTAAAAAAAATAAAATCCCGAGTTCATAACCCACGAGACTGAGTACTTTCAACATGGATTTCGCAAGACCTTTGAGATTCTCAAACACTGTTAAGCAGAGTTGCAAAACCCACTTATAAAATAGAGGCGAGAGAGTTTCTTAATCTGAGGTTACTACTGTGCTTAGGGCAAAGGACACAGTCTCTGTAATTCTGGGATCTGGTGAAGTACGTTTTCCTAGAGAGAAGTCTGCAACGTTTATTAGATTCTTAAAGGGTTCAGTCACCTTGAAATAGAGGTCAGAACTGCTGGCATAGGAGCGATCATTAAATCAGACCATAGTTAAAAACAAGATAGAGGTCACTAAAAGGTAATTTAGATACGCAGTACTTTCTTGAAAGATGAGGCAACAGTTGGAGATAACCCTGTGTTTCTTCTTACAGGCCGAGTGATAGCTACTTTCACTTGCTCGGGGGAAAAGGAAGTAAATTTGGCTGTCCAGGATGCCAAGGCTGCCTTTAAAATATGGAGTCAGAAATCTGGCATGGAGCGTTGTCGAATTCTTCTGGAGGCTGCCAGGATAATAAGGGTATGTGTTACTTCTTCCTCTTTCAGAAATATCCCCTTGCGTTGCTCTGAGGGTTCCTCATGATGATTTGCAGTTAGACTTTAATGATCCGTTAGGTTATGCCTTTTTTTTTTTTTTTTTTTTACAAAATTGAAAAACATTTTCATGTGATCGCCTGGGTCTATAGGACATGCTTTCTGTGAGTAATGGCCTTCTGGAGCTTGGCTGTCTGTGACATCCCCTTGGCAGGTGGTTTTCTCCATCTTTGTGCTTTTTTTTTTTTTTTTTTAATAAGTTACCACTAATTCTTTTCTTTCTTTTTTTATTTATGATAGTCACACACAGAGAGAGAGAGAGGCAGAGACACAGGCAGAGGGAGAAGCAGGCTCCATGCACCGGGAGCCTGACGTGGGATTCGATCCCGGGTCTCCAGGATCGCGCCCTGGGCCAAAGGCAGGCACTAAACTGCTGTGCCACCCAGGGATCCCTCCATCTTTGTGCTTACGTATCCTTTGCAACTTGTCTCCTTTCCTTTTTAACTCTGTGTATTTGTGTCCTTTACTTTTGCTCTGATGACTCTTAAGTGTACCGTTCTTTTTTCAGGTACATTTTCTACCTCAACTGCCTAGGAAGATTTTGTACATTTATAGATGTTCCCTTCTTACAAAACAAAGTTAAGGGCCTCCTGGGTGGCTCGGTCAGTTAAGCAACTGACTCTTGATTTTGGCTCAGGTTGTGGTCTCGGGGTCTTGGGATTGAGTGTGTCAGGCTCCGCAGGGCATCTGCTTGAGAGTCTCTCTCTCCCTCTCACTGTGCCCATCCCCCGCCCCCCCCCCCGCCCCAAAGATGTGCTCGCTCTCTCTCTAAGTAAATAAATAATTTTAAACTGGACAAGTCTTTTTTTTTTTAAGATTTTATTTATTTATTCATGACAGACACAGAGAGAGGCAGAGACACAGGCAGAGGGAGAAGCAGGCTCCAAGCAGGGAGCCCGATGTGGGACTTGATCCTGGGTCTCCAGGATCACCCCCCAGGCCGAAGGCAGCACTAAACCACTGGGCCACTGGGGATGCCCTGGACAAGTCTTTTTTAAAAAATTTTTATGGGACACCCGGATGGCTTGGCAGCTGGGCGTCTGCCTTTCAGCTCAGGGTGTGATCCTGGGTTGGGTTGGGGGATCGAGTCCCACGTCGGACTCCCTGCATAGAGCCTGCTTCTCCCTCTGCCTGTGTCTCTGCCTTTCCATGTGTGTCTCGTGAATGAATGAATGAATGAATGAATGAATAAATCTTAAATAATTTTTTTTCATTTATTTATTTTGAGTAATCTCTATACCCAACGTGGAGCTCGAACTCCCATCCCTGAGATCAAGACTTGCATGAGCCCCTGAACTTTTTACAGTCTTAAAAAGCAAAAGGACTAGAGATCTTCGTTACAGAAAATGAGAAGATTCAGAAGGATGTACACCAAAATATCCAGAGCAGTACCTTGGCATGAGTTTTTTGAGCTCCAGTCCCCACAAGGGGTCTCCGTGAGAGCCACATGTAATGCTGTTGTAGGCAGAGGTTGCACCTCAGAGGGGAACCCTAAAGTGATAGGACTCAGTTTACACAGGAGCTGCTCTCTCCCCTGGGGCAAGAGCGATGACTCCCTTAGCAGATCTCCTCCAGGGTTCAGGGGGAAGGTGTTACCAGGTTTATTACCCTGGAAAGTACGCAGATGTCTCCAGAAATGCGAAGCAGAGGGCTTCCTATCTCCACATCTCTCCGGTCAGCTGTCTTTAGGAGACACTGTGTCTGCCTTCCAAGGCCTCAGCCTCTCATTCGGCTTGCCAGCGTTCTCTGCTCGGAGAGCCTGGGCCGCACAGGATGTCACAGTGTTCATGGAGAATTTCTTCCCAACTAAGTATTTTCCTCTATCGTTAAAAGTTATTTTTAATTCTGGGGCACCTGGGTGGCTCTGCTGGCTAAGAGTTTGCCTTCGGCTCAGGTCATGGTCCCGGGTCCTGGGATCGAGCCCTGAGTCGGGCTCCCTGCTCGGTGGGGGGTCTGCTTCTCCCTTTCCCTCTGCGCCCCACCCCCCCAGCCCTACTTGTGCTCGCTTGCTCGCTCTCTCTCTCTCAAATAAATAAATCTTTAAATAAAAAGTAAATAAAATAAGGTAAAAATATGTTCTATTTACCCACATTTTTACCATTTCTGGTGCTCCTCATCCCTTTTTGTGTAGGCCCAGATTCCAGTCTGGTATCCTGTTCTTCTTCTTCTTTTTTTTTTTTTTTTTTTTTTTTTTGTTCTTCTTCTTCTTGAAGAAATTTCTTTGGCATCTATTATAGAACAGGTTGTCGGTGGTGCTCTTTCAGGTCTTGTGTGTCTAAAAGTCTTCATTTTGCTCTGTCTTTTGAAAGAATTATAAGCCTATAAGTCTAGGTCAACAGGGTTTTTTTTTAGTGCTTTAAGTATTAGGAAGTTCTAACTGAATTTCTGCCCTGCTTCTGTCTCTTCCCGGGGCCTCCGGTTACACACTGGGCGGCTTGAAGCTATCCCATAGCAACCGGTGCTCTGTTCTTTTTTTTGCCTATTTTTTTTCTCGGTATGTTTTGGTTCGGATAATTTCCAGTGTTAATTAGAACTGACTGACTAAGAAAACCTGTCTTCACACAAATGGCAGAGTCGGGCTACCCAGAGCATCTGCAGATCTTACCTAGCTTGTACTGGACGGGAGGCCGTAGGTAATCGGGCAGAGGTCTGAAGGGAGCAGGGGAAGGAGGACCCTTGGAGTGGTTAGTGTTGGGCCCCGTGTAGACAGAAGTCCTCATCTGCTGCCTGTGTCTGAGAGCTCAGGGTCTGGGCTCATTTATTGAGCACTTACTAACTCCCTGTTTGAGAAATCGGCTTTGTGAAGGCAGAGAATGGATCTATGCATTTCGACTTAGGACAGTGGAAGGAGTCAGTGGACACTCTGGATACCTCTGGCCTTGGTAGACATATAGTGTGTTCAGATCTGTCAGACTTTCCTGGTGATTTTTATATTCGCCCTCCCTCCCTTCCTTCCCAAGGTGTGTACTGTGGATGTGGGCTTGTTGCCATTTCCTTTTACTTCTGGTCAGCCTCACCGCTTACCAGATTTAAGAAGACAACACCGCATCTTGTCGATGGTTCAGTGCACCTTGTGTGTGTGTCCACATAGTCACCCTCTTGTTTATTTTACACTAGATCCATAGCCAACGTCTGTTTCCTACTCACTCTGTTCATTCAGCTCTTTTATCTCTGGGACAAAGAAAGGCATTGTTGCACTCTTCTCTAGTCCCATTTCCCAAACCTTCCCATTCATCCCTGCACCGTCTCCAGCACTCCAGCATCTGTGAGTCGTGTAGCTACAACTGAGACAGAATCTAAAAAGAGAATTGATGAGTACTGACAATTAGAACATAATTATCTTGGGATTTTCACATGCTGCATGTCTTTGGGTGAATTGAAGCCATGTGTGTCCATAACCTCTTACTTGCCAGTCGTGTGTTTGGCTGTTGCGTACCATTTCCGTGATGATGACTGTCTCTTACCTCATACATGCGAGCATGTATGTGCACGTACATATGTATTTATACACGTAGTCTGAGTATAGAATATATTGAGGTATATGGTAACATGACTTAAGCCTAGTGTTCTGTTTCACCCAAAGGAACGGAAGGATGAAATCGCCACCATGGAGACCATCAACAATGGCAAGTCCATCTTCGAGGCCCGCTGGGACATTGACACTTCCTGGCAATGCCTGGAATACTACGCAGGCTTGGCTGGATCCATGGCTGGTGAGCCCTTGCCTGGCCTTCTGTGTGAGCTGATCGGGAGGTAGGCAAGTAGGTCCTGGTGGAGGAGGATGAAGATGTGGACACCAACACACACATTTTAACTGAGGGTTAAAATCCTCAGTTTATCGCTCTCTGCGTGGATGACCCTGAGAATTACTTTGTCTTTTCTAACTGAAGCTGTGGGTTATCATAGTTGGCAGGGGCTTGGGAAGAGCCGTCCTGCATTCTCCGTGACTCCTCTGTTTTCCTTTTAGGCGAATATATCCAGCTCCCTGGTGGGTCCTTTGGTTACACCAGGAGAGAACCACTGGGCGTATGCGTGGGAATAGGTGCATGGAACTACCCCTTCCAGATTGCCTGCTGGAAATCTGCTCCGGCCTTAGCGTGCGGTAAGAAAGAAAGAATCTTCTACTTGGGAAACCATTCCCTCCCTGTTCTCTACCTATCACCTGTTGGTGTGCACGTGCATACGCACACTTATTCACACACTCACACCTCACGTCAGAAGGGGCCTGTGCTGGGGTGCCAGAGCCTCACAGGACCTGCATCCCTTACTTCCCGCCCCCCCCGAGAGACCTTACAGCGTAGGTCATACACATGGATTGTATCTGCATTATTCCCACTTTATTTATCTATTTTTGTTACAGAAAGGAGGACCATTAATTTTGGTCTTGGAGGTCTTCTTTTTTCACTGTTGAATTAATTCAGATTTGTGCTACCAGAAGTCCCCCCCCCCCTTTTTTTTAAAGATTTTATTTATTTATTCATGAGAGACACAGAGAGAGAGGCAGAGACACAGGCAGAGGGAGAAGCAGGCTCCATGCAGGGAGCCTGACGTGGGACTCGATCCCGGGTCTCCAGGATCACGCCCTGGGCTGAAGGCGGCGCTAAACCACTGGGCCATCCGGGCTGCCCGTTCTCTCCCTTTCTGCACGAGAACTGTGGAATGAATTTCTGTAGAGGGAGTTCAGCTGCACATAAGAAGCAGAAGATAAACTTCCTCCTTCATTTGTGTCTTAAGACAAATGATAAACAAGGCTTCCATCAGAGAAACTTTGGCTGGCTGGTGTAAAAAGTTTCCTCCTATTTATTTATTTATTTAATTTTTTTTATAACTTTTTTTTTAAATTTTTTATTTATTTATGATAGTCATACACACAGAGAGAGAGAGAGAGAGAGAGAGAGGCAGAGACACAGGCAGAGGGAGAAGCAGGCTCCATGCACCGGGAGCCCGACGTGGGATTCGATCCCGGGTCTCCAGGATCGCGCCCTGGGCCAAAGGCAGGCGCTAAACCGCTGTGCCACCCAGGGATCCCCTCCTCCTATTATTTAAAGAGGAATTGGGAAAAGAGGATTTATTCTTAGAGAAAAAAAAGTCAAAGGTTAAAAAAAGCATCACGATTAGGACATGGTGTCAAAATGCAGCTTTTCTCGTGTTGCTGCCTTGTGTCCTTCTGCTTTTTTGCACGTGCCCTCCCGTGTGAGACCACGGCAGCTGTGACCAGAGTAGAGCTAAGTCACCAGTTTGGAGACTCTCATCCGGTTAAGCTTTCTGGTCTCCAGTTCCCACTTCTGTAAGCTGGGAGTGAGCGCGGTACTGCCGACTGCTGCAGCCCGTGCAAGATGGTGACGTGCGTAGCAGGGCCTGGAAACGCGAGTGGAAGGTATCTCGGTTGGGCCTGGGCAGGTGTGGCTTGGATCTGCGAAAGCGGAGAAGCCGAGGTGGGAAGAGCAAGGTGTCTTCTGCTGAGCGCCAGTGCGGGTCTGGGCATTGATGGGAGGAAACACTGGAGGCTGTTCTTGGCTTGTCCTCCTGTCCTGCGCTCAGAGGATCACCGGTCTTAAAACATCTTCTGTGCTTGTGTCCTGGGTTTGTGCAGGTAACGCCATGGTCTTTAAGCCCTCCCCCTTCACGCCCGCGTCGGTGTTGCTGCTGGCCGAGATCTACACGGAGGCCGGCGTGCCCCCTGGGCTCTTCAATGTGGTGCAAGGGGGGGCTGCCACCGGCCAGCTCCTGTGTCAGCACCCTGACGTGGCCAAAGTCTCCTTCACCGGAAGCGTGCCCACCGGCATGAAGGTAGAGATGAAACCAGTATTGCTTCCCACAATGGCAGTGTGGGGCCTCCCCAGCATATGTGTCGGAGGCTGATCATCTGATCTTACCCAGCTTCTACCGGGAGGGGGACCAGAGGCATCGGGGCAAAGATCTGGAATGTCCTTTATTTCTTTTAAAGATTTTATTTATTAGAGAGAGTGAGTGCACAAGCAGGGACAGAGGCAAAGGGAGAAGCAGACTCCACGCTGAGCAGGGAGCCCAACTTGGGGCTCGATCCGGGGACGCTGGGATCATGACCTGAGCCGAAGGCAGACGCTTAACTGACTGCCCCACCCAGGCATCCTGAAAAAAAGTGTGAAGTGGGGAAGGTAGTGGAGTGGAGGTAGCCTCGAGGGGATGGAAGTCATCGCCTCCTGCCTGTGTCTCGGAGCGCGGGGTCTTGCTGCCGCTTGAGTCTTTGTCTTAGCCCCCCAGTCGCAGCCACCTCGGAAGGGTGTTTGCTCAGTTTATTTCTGATGTATTAATTGCCAGCCTTGAACACAGTAATAATAGAAGAGTTTCTGCTCAGGACACGTGAATTAACAGTATTTTTATTCTTATTCTTTTTAAGATTTTATTTATTTACTCATGAGAGACACACAGAGAGGGGCAGAAACACAGGCAGAGGGAGAAGCAGGCTCCTCGAGGGGAGCTTGATGCGGGACTCGATCCCAGGACCCTGGGATCACGCCCTGAGCCCAAGGCAGATGCTCAACCACTGAGCCACCCAGGCGTCCCTAACAGTATTTTTTAAATGAATTCCCTCTTCAGAATGTCAGGTGCAGTCCTGTGGATTCTCTTCAGGGTTCAGGAAAGGGATAAGTAGCGGAAGGGCAAGGCTGCAGACAGGAACAAGGCTGCAGGTCATATGTAGTTGGAGGTGCCTGGAGGCCCAGGTTCTACTTGATGAAACTTGCACTTTTATTCGTGTTACACTTCCGAATATGTTTGTTCTTGTTCTGGAAGATCATGGAGATGGCCGCGAAAGGAATCAAACCTGTTACCTTGGAACTGGGAGGCAAGTCTCCCCTGATAATCTTCTCCGACTGTGACCTGGAGAATGTGGTGAAGGGGGCGATGATGGCCAACTTCCTCACGCAAGGCGAGGTAGGCACCTGGCCCCGGCAGACGGTTAGAAGGAAGCTCCCCCCTTCACCTAGTAGCATGTTTTAAAGCTTTTCGTTTTGAAATAATTTCGAACTTACAGAAGCGTTGCACAGAATTCCCTTGTACCCGCGAGCCATGATTCTCAAATACTAACATTTTATCAGCTTTCTTCTGTCATTCTGTTTACCTTTCTGGACATACCTGTGCATGTTATTTTTTTCTGAACTGTTTGAAAGTTGCAGACGTAAGACCCGTAACTTCTACATTCCTGCGTGAATTTCCTAGAAACAAGTGCATTCTCTTATGAAGCACCGTGCGCTTAGTGAGATCAATAACCTGATCTGTTACTCAATCTGCAGCTCTTATTTCTCATGTTGTCATTTGTTTGACATTAGTCCTTTCAGCAAAAACAAAACAAAAGCCCACACAGTTTCTTTTTTTCTGGCCCAAGATCGAATCCCGGAAGGTGCGTTGGCTTTAGCTGTCGTATTTCCACAGCTCTTCAATTATTCGTATCTTTCAAGACCTTGACATTTTTGAAGAACACAAGCTATTTATTTTGTAGAATGGCCCTCGTTTGGGGTCTGTCGATGTTTCCCTCTTTTTTTAAGATTTTATTTATTTGGGAGAAAGAGAGGCAGATTCCCTGCTGAGCAGGGAGCCCAATGCAGGGCTCGATCCCGGGACCCTGAGGCACCCACGCACCCCTGGTGTTTCCTTTTGATAAGAATTGGGTTATGCATTTGGGGCAGAAACACCACAAAAGTAAAGTTGTGTCCTTCCCAGAGGTGGGGTTGACTGTGCTGCAGATGGGTCTCCTCCGTGGTGAGACATGTCACATGAGAGAACGTGCCGGAGGACTCGGCACCTCGTGCTCTCCGCCACTAGTCTTAACACCCTCTGAGGATTTTTGCTGGAAACCTGTCTATTACGGTGCTTCCCAAATGGTGACTTCCCAATTCCGTTCTTCCTTCTACATGTATTAAATAGTTCACTCTCCACTACAGGAAGGCGCCTTCCCTTCTCTCGTGCTTCTTTTTTTCACTCATCGATTTGTGTTATTACAGACCATGGGTTCTTACTTCATTTACGGATTACTCCATTTACTATCATTAATTTTGATGCTCTGATAATTGCAGATTCGGCTCACCACAGCTTCTGGGACCTTTTGATAGATCTCACTATTTTGTGAGCATGAGTAGTTGGCTCTGTTTGCGGGCTTTGTATCCATGGTTCTGATAGCATTGGAACAGTGTTTGTGCTCACATTCTACGGAAGGATCTAACTGGTCACGATTGATTTGTGGTTTTAGGGACAGACGTTCTCTGTGAAATATTTCAGGTTTTTATTAGGCTCAAGCCCTTATTAGGCTCAAGTTTTGTTTTGTTTTGTTTTGTTTTTAAGATTTTGTTTATTCATGAGAGACCCAGAGAGAGAGGCAGAGACACAGGCAGAGGGAGAAGCAGGCTCCCTGCTGTGAGCCCGATGTGGTACTCGATCCCGGGACCCTGGGATCATGACCTGAGCTGAAGGCAGACACTCAACCACTGAGCCACTCGTGCATCCCTCAAGCCCTTCACTGTTAATCTATTTTTACTGTCCCATCCCCTCCTACTCTTAAAACACAGGGCCCCACTGAGCCTCCAGTGGGAGGCAATAGGAGAGGTCGCATGGCTCACGTGGATCTGTGAATGGCCTTTAAGAAAGTAAACAAACAAAAAGCTCTAACTTTGATCTGGAAGGGCAGGCAGTTTCTTGGCTGATGTGCTGTTATGTCCACAATTCCATATGTGATCCCATTCAGGATGGGGATAGTTTTTAGAGCTGGAACTAACCTTTTAAGGGGGTTACTACTATCTCTTTTAAGATTAAGGCTGTTGGATTTCTCCCTCTTCCCCTTCCTTACACACATACACATCTGTGTCCGTCCTTCAGGTTTGTTGTAATGGCACAAGAGTATTCGTGCAAAGGGAAATTCTTGATGAATTTACAAGGGAAGTGGTGAAGCGGACCCAAAAGATAAAAATCGGAGATCCCCTCCTGGAAGATACCAGGATGGGCCCTCTCATCAACCGTCCACACCTGGAGCGAGTCCTTGGGTTTGTTAAGCTGGCAAAGGAACAGGTGAGAAACTGGTGGCGATGGGATGGGGTGAAGAAGAGGGGAATTACTGCACGTTTCCTGCACCCATACCTGCTGGGCTTACCGTGTCCTTGGCTGTGTTCTGCTCTGTACCAGCCGGGGAGTGACTGGGCGTCCGTTCAGGACACGCCTCACGTGTCAGGAATGCATATCAGGCTGTGCATTTAACAGAAAATTTGCATTCTTTTTTCTTTTTTGGGCAGGGTGCTAAAGTGCTCTGTGGTGGAGACATATACGTACCTGAAGATCCCAAATTGAAGGATGGCTATTACATGAGACCTTGTGTACTGAGTATGTCCTCCTCTTGTTCGCTTTTAAACGGTTTGAAGTAAATGTCACATTGAAAAGGATATTTAAAAAACATGAATATGGCATAAAGCAAGTGTTGGTCAACTGTGTCCCCACAGCTCAGATTTGAGAAGTTCTCCGTCACCCTGTGTGCACTTCCTCTTGGACAACTATGTGTGTTTACCTGAGCCTTACTGAGCCTGCACCTGTTGTTCTGGAAACAAGGAACTAAAAAAAAAAAGAAAAGGAAGTGCATGGTTGATTAAAAAAAAAAAAAGAATGCATTTTGTTTCTCAGGAATGTTGCTGAAGAATATGTTTTTCTTTGAACTGTACATCATCGGTATAATAAAACCAATCTGTCAGACAGTCTGGCAGTATTTTTTAAATGATGTAATAGATTTTAGCACCTCCTTTCCATCTTAACCATCTCCTGGCTGGGACAGGCAACTGTATGGTCCTTCTGCTGTCCTCAACCCCTTCACTCGGCCCCTACCCTAGAGGTGCCCACTGCTCTAGGTCATGTTCTCGTGCTTTCCTCTGCAGTTTTACAATAGATCTTAGGATCCCCCCAAAATATCAGTAGTTTGTTTAAAATTTTATTTATTCATGAGAGAGAGGGGCAGAGACACGGGCAGAGGGAGAAGCAGGGTCCCTATGGGGAGCCCGATGTGGGACTCGATCCTGGGATTCCAAGATCATGACCTAAACCAAAGGCAGATGGTCAACCACTGAGCCACGCAGATGTCCCAATATCAGTAGTTTAATAGGCTTTAAAAAATTCTATTCACATTGAATTATGTTGTGTAATTCCTTCCATTTGTCTGGAAGGTAGGTCAGCTGATTTTTGCTCAAGGTTGACAATGGTGTCCGTTTTCAGCCCTTGATTATCTGATGCATTTTAACCCTTAGCCTTTGCTAAAAAAAGATCCACTGGAGATTTGAAAGCTGTGAACTCAGCCTCCATACCATGGATTAGCTTGTAGTTATTAAGTGAATAGGAAAAGCTTAAAATATATTTTTAAATAAAAATACAGGTTAAACAATAGCGTGCATGGTATTAACCCAGATGTATTGAAAAACAAAGGTACGTGTAAGAAGGAACGGAATGTGCATCATAATATTGATAGTGGCGTGTAGAGTAGGGTTCTCAAGCCGTTCTTACGGCTCTGTATCTCAGCACTTATTGTGAAGACATTCACGCACCAAGCTTGATCGATCCTTCACTGATGTTTGGCTTTATTACATTGTTTGCAGCCAATTGCAGAGACGACATGACCTGCGTGAAAGAAGAGATCTTTGGACCAGTTATGTCCATTTTACCATTTGACACTGAAGCTGAGGTTCTGGAAAGAGCCAATGATACCAGTTTCGGTTTAGCAGCTGGCGTCTTTACCAGGTATGTGGGGAAGGACACTCAGGCAGCCTTGCGGGACTACCGGGATCTCTGCCCAGTTGCTCAGGGAGCCCATTGCTGTCTTTTCCTCTCTGGAGTTGACATTTTCATCAGCATTTTCTACTTGCTCCGGGTGAAGTTAGAAGGTGCCAGAGTCACGTCTCGTTTGCGCTGAACGGCCAGCGTCCCCTGCCGTTGAATTTAAATTGAGCTTTAAACAATATTGATGAAAATTCTATCCTATTTCATTCCTTCATTGAACAAATATTTAAGGTTCTGATCTGAGTAGAGCATCAGGTTGAGTGTCTCTTGAAAACCTACATGTCCAGGAATTTAGAACCTATAAGCATATAAACACTGGGCGGTGCTCTTCAAAAACATGATTTTTCACGGCTTTAGAATAGTTCCTAATTGGAATGCATTGTAAAATATGTAGGCCTCTTTTTGATTGTTGTATATGTATTGAATATTGTTTCCAGTTGTGACTCTTGTAACTAAAATTGGGATTAACATCTTTGTGCATAAACTTTAACCAATATACTAAAAGTAAAAATGATTTGGGAGCAGAATTTCCTTGAATGTGATTGCAGATTGCTTGAGCATATACAGACTTTGATTAGTCTTTGGCAGCAGTAGGCAGTTCTCTAGACTGCTTACACTCGGAATTATGCAGTTTCTTTGGTGGTATATACAAGGTTCAATTTTTTTTTGTAGTTTTGTGGTGAGGCACCTGGGAAGGAAGACCCAGGTCTCCACTGGAGGGCCTGATGAATGAAATAGCTTCTCTTTGAGCCCTGAAGAAAGAAAAGGTTAAGGAGCTGCTGCTTTTTTGTTTGCTTGTTTCTTAGTAGATTTTATTTCTTAGCATAATTTTAGGTTCACTGCAAATGGAAGGCAAAGCACAGAAATTTCCCGTACACCTTGCCCCATCCTGCCCCCTTATTATCCACGTCTCCCACCCAGGGGTCATTGGTTGCAGTTGATGAACCTACTTAGACATATTGTAATTGCCCAAAGACCACAGTGACATCAGGTTTACCTTGGTGTTGTAGGTTCCATGGGTTTGGACTATGGTATCCACTGTTATGGTGACACACAGGGTAGTTTCACCTGTGTGTCACCATAATCCTCTCCTAGGAGCTGCCGTTTTGATGGGAGGATTTGAACGGGTTAACTCTTGCTCTTGCTTTGACCCCACAGTACAGATAAAGGCAATCCCAAAGGTTGACCCTAAATGCTGCTACTTTTCTAATAGCTTTAGGGTAATTCACATACCGTACAAGCTACCCACTTAAAGCGTGCGGTTCAGTGTCCTTTAGTGTACTTATTTACAGAGTTGTGCAATCATCACCATATAATCTAATTTTAGAACATTTTCATCATCCCACAAACAGGAGCCCTTAGTTCTCATTTTCCCCTTCCCCCAGGCCCTGGCAACCACTAGCCTTACTTGCTTTCTCTACAGATCTGCTTATTCTGGATATTTTGTATAAATGGAATCATAGAGTATATGATTTTTTTGTGATTGGCTTTTGGGGGGGGTTAATTTTTATTACTCTAATAAACACATTTTTATAGTGCCTCATATATATATTATAGCATGTACATTGTATTTTATGCTTGCGTCCACACTTCTTTTTTTAAAGATTTTATTTATTTACTTATGAGAGACATAGGCAGGACCCCAGGATCACGACCTGAGTTGATGGTTGATGTTCAACCACTGAGCCACCCAGGTGCCCCTCATGTCCACAGATTTTTATGTTATATGTAACAGATTACATCAAAATTTTCATGAGGGATCTATTTTGTTAACATAAACCAATTTAACTCAACCATTTATACATCACTTCAACTACCCAAATAATGTCGACTACCAAATAATACTATCAAATTATTTGGACTGATGGACATGAGTCAACACAATTGAATTTTCTGCTTCTCAGTATATTTGATGACATGATATCTTTTTTTTTGTAGTCCATTAAGATGATTTTAATCCACATCATGTTTATGATATACACATTTGCATGGGTTATCGAACTTGGTGTCACAAATATATTGAATACTACATTAACAAAATGCAAGCGATAGAGACTAGATTGTAATGTAGATTCCTTTTTTTTTTTTTAAGATTTTATTTGAGAAAGCAATGGGGTGGGGAGGAAGGGAGAGGGAGAAGCAGGCTTCCCCCTGAACAGGGAGCTCAGGATCCTGGGATCATGACCTGAGCTGAAGGCAGACGCTTCAGGAACCAAGCCACCCAGGTGCCCCTGTAATGTAGTTTTTATAACCCACTGATCTATGTAATTTAGGCATAAAATATATCTAATTAAAAATGTTTTCTTTCTTTCTTTTTTTTTTTTTTTTGATTGGCTTCTTTGACTTAGAACGTTTTCAAAGTTTGTGTCGCACCAGGTATCAGTGGTTTATCCTACTGTGGAATAATATTCCATTGTATGCATACATTTTGTTCATTCACCAGTTGATGGACATTTGGATTGTTTCTGCTTTTTTGTTATTATGAATAACACGTCTGTGAACACTTATCTCTGAGTCTTTGTGTGGATATGTTTCATTTCTGCCTGGGGTAGATACCTAGAAGTGGAATTGCCAGATCATGTGGTTACTGTCTCTCCTTGTGGTTTCAGCCATCCTGATGTGTGTGAAGTGGTGCCTCAGTGTAGTTTAAAAAAAAAAAAAAAACCAACCACATTTATTTGTTTCTTAGAGCATGAGCAGAGGGGGAAAGGGTGGGGGCATGGAGGGAGAAGCAGACTCTCCCTATAGAGCATGACCCTGAGATCCTGACGTGAGGTGAAGGCAGATGCTTCACCAACTGAGCCACCCAGGTGCCCCTCAGGGTAGTTTTGATTTGCATTTCTAGGAGTTGTCTTTTTTTTTTTTTAACTTTTTTGATAGTCCCATTTGTAGTACAAAAATTGTCAATTTTGACACAGTCTCATTCTGTTCCTTTTTTTCTGTCACTTTTGGTATCTTGTCTGAGAAGGCTTCTTCTAACCCAGGGTCAGGAAGATTTATTCCTGTTTCCTTTGAACAGTTTTATGGTTTGTACTCTGTAGGTCTGTGACCATCTGAGTTCATTTTTATATATGGTGTAGAAAGGGCTCTACTGTCATTCTCCGTGGCCATGTGGATGGCCAGTGGTTGTGGCACTGTTTATCACAGAAACTTTGTCGCCCGAAGTGTTTTACACCCGCCCCCCCCTTGCTGCTACTTATTTTGTAGATGCTTTCAGATGAGACCGTAAAACTCGAGTCCTTATCTATTTTGCCTGGATGCCACAAGCTTTTATAACACGTTGTAAAGAAACAAGAATTAGGCAATATTTTGAGACCTTTAGAACCCGCAGCCTAACTTCCTGTTAAAGTAGTAGCAAAAGAAATTATGAATAACCAGCACGTTTGTTTCCTTTTTGTTGTTTCTTGTTTTTCCCCCTCCATAGGGACATCCAGCGTGCTCACAGAGTGGTGGCTAAGCTGCAGGCTGGAATGTGCTTCATTAACAACTACAACGTCAGCCCAGTGGAGCTGCCCTTCGGTGGATATAAGAAGTCAGGTGAGGAGCTGGAGAGCGTGAGAGCAAACCTGGTCTCTAGGGCTGTTGGCCGTACTTCAGACCTTCGAGACCAGGTTCCCAAACTTGTCCGAGTGTCAGAATCACCTGAGAGAGTAGACTGATGCCCGGTCTTCCCCAGACTCCCTGCAGCTGTTTCAGGGAATGGAAACCAAGCATCTTCTTTTTTTTTCTTTTCCCCCAAAAGCTGTCCAGAAGGTTCCTTTTTTTTAAAAAAAAAAGATTTTATTTATTTACTCATGAGAGACACACCCAGAGAGAGGCAGAGACACAGGCAGAGGGATAAACAGGCTCCATGCAGGGAGCCCGATGCGGAACTTGATCCTTGGACTCCGGGATCACACCCTGGGCCAAAGGCAGGCACTAAACTGCTGAGCCACCCAGGGATCCCTGTCCAGAAGGTTCTGACATGTATAAGCCTGGCTTATGAACTGCTGGTAGACATCTCAGAAAGGTCTACCTTGTGGGTGGAATTACTTTTTTCCCCTCACACTGTGTGATTGCTAAGGCATAAAGCCACCCCAGAGATTCTATACTAGGGATGTTTGTCGTTGTCCACTGTGGAGCCGTTAGATGTAAAGTGGCTCTCACATCTCAGAAAGCATATAGTCATCTGTTTTATTGTTTTTTTTTTTTTTAAAGATTTTCTTTATATATTCATGAGAAACACACAGAAAGAGGCAGAGACACAGGCAGAGGGAGGAGAAGCAGGCTCCATGCAGGGGACTCCCCGAATATGGGACTCGATCCCAGGACCCTGGGATCATGACCTGAGCCAAAGGCAGATGCTCAACCACTGGGCCACCTATGCGTCCCTACTCATTTTTTTTTTTTCTTTTTAACAACGGTCATTCTGGTTCTGCTGGATGCCACCCAGGAATGTTGTCCTTAGGCTGCTGCCCGTTGCTTACATTGACTCAGTCATTTGTGCAGACATTACTGTAATCTGGTGCAGGTGGAAGTCCAGCTTATGAGGAACCTCGAGGCAGCTGGGATACAGCCCTTACTTCGAGGTTCTCTCTTTGGAGATTGTTGCCCATAAATATTCTCTAATCTCCTATACCTTTCTCTGAAAATTGTTCCAACTCTGTAGGGGCCCCATGCTAAGAGCCTGGGCCCTGGCCTCTTGGCCCGTAATTGTGCCCATCACAGTGTTGGCAGACCTACAAACCCCGAGGAGAGCTGATGAGATGATGGGTGTTAATTTGAGAGTTTTATTTAATACTTGCTTTGTTACTACCCTGGCCTTCCCTGATCCTGCTCCCCTGATCACCTTTGTCCCTGCCTGGGGCCCAGAGGAGCTGGACACATAGGCACAAAATGCAGAGCAGGAACTAGGATGCTGCTTTTTTAAATATGTAACTCCTGGTGTGGGGGAAAGTTTGTTTGGAGCCTGCAGCGTAGGCCTCAAAGGGGCCTCCTGGGCCAGCTTTCCCGTCCTCAGATCAAAATGTTTGGATCTGTGCACTCAGGCTTGCCTACCTGCGATGAGAGCAAGACCAACATGTGGCCAGGTCTTTGGAGCAGCACCTGGCCCAACCTGCCCCACTAGCTGTGTGCTCAGAGCCTGTGGAAGGGAACAAGGGATAGAGTGAGGACTTGCCAGGGCCGGTGTATAAACCACCTTTCGAATAGTGTCGTCTAGGGACATGTATTTGTGGGGACCAGGCCTTGCCCTTTGGAGGCAGACCCTACCTGAGCCTGAGGCAGGGTAACAGGAAAAGCCAGGCAGGTGTGGAATGCTATCCTTGGAACCTGTGACCTTCTATCTGGGCATCGCTTAGACTTTGAGTAACCTGAGCTGCCCTTGTGAGTTGGCAGTGTGTAAACAGCAAGCTACTCTTAACAGATTCGGTGTGGGCAGCCCAGGGTGGCCCAGCGGTTTGGTGCCACCTTTGGCCCAGGGCGTGATCCTGGAGACCTGGGATCAAGTCCCACGTTGGGCTCCCTGCTTGGAGCCTGCTCCCTGTGTCTGTGTCTCTCTCTGTCTCTCTCATGAATATGTAAATAAAATACATAATAAAAAATTTTAAGTAAAATATTAAAATATTATTTAAAAATATTAAAAACAGATTAGTGTAAGAAAAGGTTAAAAAATCTGTTAAGTTAGAGTTAAGTTTTAAGTGAACACCAACTTTTTTTTTTTAAGATTTATTTATTTATTTGAGAGGGAGGGAGAGAGTGTAAGTACAAGTAGGGGCAGGGGAAGAGGGAGCAGGAGAGAGACAATCCCAAGCAGATTCTCCGCATTTTCCACATTCTGTTGCTAAGGTGTCCTTCCCCATTTGGACCCTGTGCAATCAGATCTTTGTATCTCTATTAAGTTTCATAATCTCAAAGTTAGTCTGTAGGTTTAGCTTTAAAGCAATAGAGGTTATCTATTCTTTCCTCCTTCCCTTCCTCCCTCCCTTCCTTCTTGAGAGAGTGCAGTTGGAGGGGGAAGGTGAGGGGCAGAGGGAGAATCTTAAGCAGGTTGCATGCCTAGTGTGGAGCCTGACGTGGGGCTCGATCTCACAACCCTGAGATCAGGACCTGAGCTGAAATCAAGAGTCAGACGCTCAACCAACCGACTGAGTCACCCCGGCTCCCCGAGTTAGCACCAGTTTTCAAAGGCGTCTGTTGATGGTTGTAGAGGCTGCTTTCACACTTGATAGAAAAGCCTGAACGTCTTCAGATCTCAGCCCAGAACAGCAGGTACCTAAGTTAAGGTTCCTGTTGCAGAAACGAGATGTGGCTATTTCCCCGTCCTCATCCCTAAAGGCCAGTGGATCACTTTTCCCCCGCGCCTAGCTCCACAGCTGACATGTGCAGTTGAGGACTTTGTCCCGAACTTGTCGGTTCTGTGTGCTCCCTGCCACTGGGGTAGGCCCGGCCTGTGTCCTTGAAGGTCACTGTGACTTCAGACCACCGCAGTGGTGGCTCGTCCTCACCCTGCTCTTCCTTTCAGGGTTCGGCAGAGAGAATGGCCGTGCGGCAATCGAGTATTACTCCCAGCTGAAGACTGTGTGCGTGGAGATGGGTGATGTGGAGTCTGTTTTTTGAAAATGTGCGGCGTGGCCGGGCGTGGAGCGAGGACTGGATCTCAATAGAGGCCGTACAGCTGCTTTCTGTTCCAAACCCAGAATTGTGTCTTTCGGTCCCCTCCCTAACCGAGAATGTGCCTAAGTGCCTTTTAGATACTAATCAGGAAAGCTGCGATTGTCCCCAGAGCAAATTTTCTGTGAAATCTTTAACACGCTTCTGGAGAACAGGGTGGGTGGGGGGGGGGGGGACCAGGGTTTTGCTGGTCCCACAGATCTAACCCACTGGCAGTGCTCAGCCGCCGGCTTCAGCGAACTGGCTCGTGGTTCGGTTCCTGGCGGAAGAAGCCGAGACACTTTTTCTGCTCATTGACATGTTTAAGCCCTGGCCCCCTGTCATTTCATTGAGAAAGCTGACAGTCGGGAGCGAGATGACAGGGTCACGCTCTGTGTGAGGCTTACCCTACCAGAGTAAGCACCTGGTTTCCACTCGGCGCCAGTGAAGGAGGCCGGCCTCCAGCCCTTGAACGACAGCCTGCTCTCTTTTTAAATACACCACCGAGCTGAATGCTGCCACGGCACACTGAAATGAAATAAATCACCCTGTTAATCTTGCAGCCTCATGTTTTAAAGCTAAGCACATCTCCAGGGTCCAAATGTTGACAGGGTAGGGCTGAAGTTAGACGTGTAGCACAGCAGATCGGTCCTTTGCACTGAGTACACAAGGATGGGCTTCGGGTGCTGTAGCGAATGTTTAAGGCCCGTGGAACCTTCTAGGCTCCATGTCCTTCCCCATCCTGACACGGAATGCCTGTGCTTGCAGAGCTGTCTGGCCACGGTGACTTCCCAGCCCGTCGCAGGGGTCCTCACCCTGCCCCTTTCTCTGCCTTTTAGGGAGACCGTTTATGTCTGGGAGCTGCATTGGTCAGGGTTGGCCGGAGACACAGGAGCACAGAGTAGAGTAACGGAATAGGTAGGCACGTACAAGGGGACGTTTATTGTGACAGTCGGCTCACGGATCATGGAGGCCGAGGAGGCCCACAGCCTGCCATCTGCAAGGTGGAGACCCAGGAAGGTGGGTGATGTGATTCGGTCCGAGTCTGAAGGCCTGAAACCCAAGGGGGGCCGAGGGTTTTAAGTCTGAGTCCCAAGGCCTGAGAACCAGGAGTGCTGGTGTCTGAGGGCCGAGGGCCGGAGAAGATGGATATCCCAGCTCCAGCAGAGATCGAACTTTTCTCCCTCTTTTTGTTCTGGTTGGGCCCTGCCCAGATTGGGCGATGGCCACCCACCCCGGGGAGAGACCTCTGCCTTCCTCAGTTCACCAACTCAGTGGCTGAAACCTCCTCACAGGCACACCCAGAAATACTGTTTTATCAGCCGTCTGGTCATGCCTTAGCCCGATCAGGCTGGCACATGGAAGGAACCAGCACAGTAGCTGATTTAGTAGTCGGGTAAGGGATGGTTGGCCTCCCCGGGCCCACATCTCACGGTGTGTTATGATGGGCCAATACTGTAATTTTGGAGGATGAGAGCAACTGCATCAGCCTCTCGGTATTGTTTGTTTGTTTTCTTAAGATTTTATTTATTTGTTTGAGAGATTGCACAGAGGGAGAGGGAGAAGCAGGCTCCTGGCTGGGCGGGGAGCCCGGCTCAGGCTCGATCCCAGGACCCTGAGATCACGATGTGAGCTGAAGGCAGATGCTTGACTGAGCCACCCAGGCGCCCCAGCCTCTTGGTGCTTATTTGCACGGAGGGCACGGAGGTGTTGGGAGCAAGGCCAAGAGTGATCCCATGGTGGGTCTCGGGCCAGGGGGTTGGGGGGCGGGCAGCGCTCTTGTGACTCATGCAGTAGGAGCTGAAGTTCCTGTAAAGAGGAGAGGGCAGGGGAGGGGGAACCGGCCTTTGAATCCTCGCTGTGTTCCTACTGCCCAGTCCTCAGTGAGTGCTCCTGCGAAACCGAAAGGAAGCAGGATACTGGCCCTGATGTTGAAAGGAAGAAACAATGGGGGGAGCCAGGTGGGTGGGGCTTCACTTCGTGTGCTTCCTGCCTTCCTTCCCGGATTCTGGAACCTAGATGGCCTGTACTGGTTTCCCAGGGCCGCTGTGACAAGTGACCCCAAACCTCCGACTTGGAGCCCGGGGTGGTTTCCCTGAACTGAAATCCAGGCATCAGAAGGACCAGGTCCTAACTCTGGGAAACGAACTAGGGGGGGGTGGAAGGGGAGGTGGGCAGGGGGTGGGGCTGACTGGGTGATGGGCACTGAGGGGGGCACTTGATAGGATGAGCACTGGGTGTTATTCTATATGTTGGCAAATTGAACACCAATAAAAAATAAATTTATTTAAAAAAAAAAAAAAAGGACCAGGTCCCTCCGGAGGCCACAGGAGCGAGTCCCTGACCTCGCCTTGTCCAGCGTCCCAAGCATCCCTTGCATTCCATGCCTCGTGGTCCCTTCCTCCGTGTCACAGGCCAACAGCTTAGCATCCTCAGCTCCCCCTGCTTCCCTCTTACGAGGACACAAGGGACGGCATCTGGAGCCCACCCACCGGCGGCGGGACCATCCTCCCCTCTCAGCTCCGCCCCCACCTGAAGCGCACCCGCACGCCTCTTCCTGCCTTGGAAGGTGACACTCAGGTTTCTGGGATTAGGACTGGGGCGCAGGGCTCTTCGGCGGCCACACCCCGCACGGTCCACAGTGCGCTCCAGGGTGTCGCTGGATGCGGCCCTGCACACCTGGCCGGAAGAGTAAGGATGCTGACACCGCACATTCGGGAGACACCGACCTGGCCACTTTCTCCCTCCTCATCTGATCTCTTCCAGGGGAAACCACTATTACCTTTTGGGCATTTCTGTCTCCGAGGACTTTCTTACAGGGAGGAACTGCAAACAACCCCTGCCTCCTGGTGACCTGTAAGACGGTTGCCGCTCCCCGCCCGGTCCAGGGGTCCTTTTGGCCAGGCCAGGAGTTGATCGGCCATTGGTTTTAGGATAGAAAATGGAGCTTTTTTAAAAAAAAATGGAGGCTCTCACTTTTTACTCCATTCCAGACATGCCAGCTCTCAGAGCCACAACTGTCAGGCCGCTGGGCTCACGGAAAGTACTGCTTGCGTAAGTGAATGGATCCCATCGCCACTCAGGGTGGCCCAGGGACCAGCAGCGTCTGCTTGTTAGACCCCCAGAATATCCGTGTCCCCTTAGACCTAAGGACCAGGATCTGCATTTTAACAAGACCCCCAGGGGATTCTTACGCATAATAGTTGGCCAAATGCTGCCCTTAGAGCAATGGTTCTGAACTTTGGTTGTTCCAGAGAAACTTCTGTATTTAAAAAATTCTTAAAAATTAAAAAAAAAAACAGATTCTAATTTAATTGATCAGGGGTATGGCCTGATCATTCAAATTTGGGTGGTCCCCGCCAAGCTGGCTTCGGCAGACAGGTGGAGAACCACTGCTTTACTGTTGTGCCACGTGAGGACAGTCGCCACGAGCCACATGTGGCTACTTAAGTTTACTTAAAATTAAAGAAAAATTCTGTTTTTTACTCTCTTTAGCCACATTTCATGTACCCAATGCCGCACATGGGCAGTGGGTAGTGGGTACTGTGTTGGACAAATGCAGATGTCAAATCTTTCCACGGTGTCAGATGGTTCTTTCGAACAATGCTGTTTACGAGCCAAGGACTGGAGACACTGTTGTTTTCGAGTGAGTTAGGAGACCACTTCTGGGGGCGAGTGCTGTGGGGGACAAAGAGGGGAGTGGGGGCCCCTTGGATCCTGAGGGTAGGTCACGGGGTTACCGACTCCTGATGAATGAACTTCACCAGCAGGCAGCGCCGGCGCTCCCCACAGCTAGGCCTGGAACCGAGCTGGCCCTAGGCCTGGGCTGCACAGTGCACGGTGCACGGACTGTCATTCAATCCTCAAGAACTTTATATACCAAGTGTCCTCGTTTTTCCCAACTTGGAGCTGGGGGAGCTGAGACTTAGGGAGGCCAACCAGCCTGGCCAAGGGCACACCGCTTCCCGCGATGAGGGTCACCTGCACTGCAACGTGGATATATTAGCCCAGTCTGGTTCTCTAGCTTCCATCTACCACGAACCCAGAATGTGCTTCTCCATAGAAATAAACCCACCCTCTGGAACATACCCTGCCAGAGAAGAGTGAGCGGCAGTTCCTACACCCTTTTTTTTTCCCCCTTGCAGGTGACAAGGGAATTGAACCTTAAGTAGCTTGTCAGACCTGGTGATTCCCTATGGCAGAGATCTGCAGGCTGGATTTGGCCAAGCCCTGGGGGCCGAGGGGGTCCTGGGGAAATAAGAAGGCACCGCTCTGGGTGCCCCCTCCAACCACAGCACCATTTCACGTGGTGGGCTTCCTTATAAAGCCCCCTTGGAGCCCATTCTGTAACAGCAAAATGACAACGATGGATCACGTGACTTTGTAAAGCATCCCGTCAAGACTTCAAGGTGAAAATGCCACATGGTCCCCAGGCCTCCCCTGGGTTGCATCTTTGACACCCAAACTTCATGTGACGAGAAAGGAAACCACAAGCTCTCTGAGGTGCGCTTCTCATGAAAAAACACGAAAAACCAAAACCATAACCCTAGCCTATTATAAAGTCTTAATTTTGTTCAAGTCTGGACCAAAAATACCATTCATCATCACCATCATTTTTACAAAGGGCATTTTATTTTTTATGTTTTTTAAAGATTTTATTTATTCATGAGACACAGAGAGAGGGGCAGAGACACAGGCAGAGGGAGGAGCAGGCTCCATGCAGGGAGCCCGATGTGGGACTCGATCCCGGGTCTCCAGGATCATGCCCTGGGCTGAAGGCAGACGCTCAACTGCTGAGCCACCCAGACATCCCTATAGGTATGGACATTTTAATAGAAAAAAGAACGCAAGTTAAAGCTTTATGAAAATGATCCTCATTTTCCTTATTGTGCTCCATGCTGGGGAAAACTTCTCATGAACTACGGCAGAGTGTACACTGGTCCCTCCAGGCTGCTCACTCGATGGCTGGAGCGCTCCAGGTGGTCGTGAGGCCATGGCTGACCATGTCCGGTGGCCAACCAGAACATTCCAGCTGTAAGTGATGGAGGAGTAATGGGGAAAGCATGGAGTTTAGAGTTGGGTGCGGGTGCAGATCCCATCTCTCATTCTCACAGGCTAGTGAGCACTTGAAATGTGACGAGAGCAGTTACAGAGCTGACTTCTACTTACATTTTATAAATTTGGATGTAAACAGTCACATGTGGCTCATGGCTACTGTACTGAGCAGCACAGGTGTAGACACTGCACTACTGTTAATGGAGCTCACGGCCACATTCACCCCGGGGCAGCCCTCTCATTTTGCCAGCCAGCATCCTGCTCCAGGTCAACTGAGCCTGTTTAATTTTCTACATTTTGTTGTTAAGGTGTCCTCCCCAGGGGGCTCAGTGGTTGAGCGTCTGCCTTGGGCTCAGGGCATGATCCCGGGGTCCTGGGATCAAGTTCCGCATCAGGCTCCCCACAGGGAGCCTGCTTCTCCCTCTGCCTGTGTCTCTGCTTCTCTCTCTCTGTCTCTCATGAATAAATAATTTTTTTAGAAAAGAAAAAGATGTCCTTCCCCAGTTG